TGATTCGCGGACCATAACGAGTGACCAAACCGTATATACAATAATTCGTCGCCTTCTTTTTTGAACTCATCGATATAATATCACTGAATAGAAATTATTACTAAGAAGTAATAAATTTATCATTTGTTTTCTCTGGATTATATTTAAATATATAGCAATTTTGGGACAAAAAATTCTCGACATGCGTGGCACGTCACGTTAATATGTACGCAAATTTTATTGTACGTATTTTCACAGCTGTGAGTATTCTCGAACTCCGGGGAAATGACCAAAAGGGACCGTTTCCGCTGGAACAAAGCAACGTTCAGCAGAGATTGGACAGACGTTCTTCCCACTGATCGATAAAGCAATTAAAATCCGGATCTTGACCGTGTACAAGCAATCGGCGTGATATTCGATTATCTGGAATCATATCCGGAGATCCTTCCAGAATTCGCGAAAATGAAACACACACGTGGGACGGACAGGCAACAAATGAAAATTTAATCTGGCGTCCAATCGTCTGAAGGAAATTCGATGCGATCGATCCGATTATACCAGGGGGTCTAAGCGAATTTAAACGTGAAATCAACAAGATGGTCCTCCTGCTCTGCAAAAATTTTCTTGAAACTCTTCTCAACGATATTTTATTTATTTTTCATTTATTTGTTTAACTGCCTGAAAATTTCATTTCACCTGTCCTTCCATCCGTTACTTTAATCTTTTGAAGATTCATCATCCTCCGTACTATGGCAACGACAGAATTTCTCACTCACTAACGGAAATGAAGAAAAAAAAAAAAAAAAAAAAAAAAAAAAAAACACGAGCGAGAAATCTCGCGAGAAACAGCAAATAAGAAGAATTGCGTAATAATCGTGCTGATAATTTGTCATTCGTTGTTAATCCCGGGCGGGGGAGAGACGGAAAACTACAAATTACGTTCACGGTTTCTTCTTCAGAAGAAAAAAAAAAAAAAAAAAAATCGATAATTTAAGAAGCAAGTTTTCGTACCGATCTCGAACCTCACGTTTCTTCTGCAACCTCTGAAAAAAAAACAAACGCACGAAGTTTCGAAAGGAATGGATTTCGAGTCCACGAAGAGAAAGAAAAAGAGAAATGGGGGAAAAAAAAAGAAGAAGAAGAAATATCAATTCAACGCGAAAATAATAATAATCACAACTGCAAAAATATCAGCACACTCGCCTCCACTTCCGTCGCTAATCTCTTACTGTGTGGTCCCCCCCCCCTCCTCTCTCGCTCTATTAGTCCCGTCTCTGTTGCTCTTCCGCGCGATTACGTACTCATTGTCGTATTACATGCATCGTAATCAACGAGGAAGATCGCGTCACCACGCGGTGTTCCCCCATTCAAGCACGCCTTGATTCGCGTAAAAGGTACGTATTAAATCCACTGCTCCACTCACGTTGTCACTGAATGACTCTCCCCTCCATCTTTCACACGCTTTACACATTGCACGATTCGTGTCTGACAGAAAACATGCTGGCAAGGAAGCATTAGTCACGTCACACCTGGACGAAACTAGCTGACGAGAGCCAGTTTAACGCAAATTCGAAGACGATAATCGCATTTTGTTAAATGAAATTTTTTTCAAATAAATTTTCAATGAATCTTCTTTTCAAATAATCCATTGGCGATCTATCTTCGAGTGCACGCTGACCATTGAGAGAAACGAAGCTTTGATGTTAATAACGAATGCAAAAGAATATCGCGACGTGAAAATATTGTGGGTGATTTTTTTTTTTTTAAATCTATGGTTGTCGATCAACTTGATTCTCCATGGGGACGTTAATTCACGAGAATGAGTTGTTCATTCATCAGTGAATTTTATGGCATTCCTTCAAATGTAACTTTCTAACTTTTTCTTGCTTTGACCTTGAAGTTTATGGCCTTTTATCATTTAAATCCTCTTCGAAGGATTCACTTTCTGAATAATAAGAATTATGTGTTCAACACTTTAGAATTATGGTGAAGAGAAAAAAAGGTTGGGAACCACTGTTTCAAATGAAAGTGAAAGGAATTGATTGGAACATTTAAATCCAAATAACTTGTTTGGAAATTTCTACGTTTCAACAATTCACACGCGTGTTCACATCTGAACA